CTTTGTATTATTGTAATTATTTCTTGATCTCCGAAAATTCACGGGAAATTTTAGAGAGTATTTTAGGGCACAAAGAATATTGCAAAATATTCCCGGCCAATGATTTTTAAGGGAAAATTTTAATTCTCCCAATAATTCACTTGATTAAATTGCTTTAACTTTTATTTAATTTCTAGAAAATGCATTATTAATTGATTTTTAATCCCAAACGAAAATCGGGGCGTTACAGGAAGCGAGGGAGGGGAGCGTCGCCGGCCACCACCCTCCCCCCCTCCCCCCCCCCCCCCCCCGCCCTCCTCGGGCCAGATCTGGGAGGGAGGGAGGGGCCGGGAGCCACCGCCCGCCGCCACCCTCCGCCTCTCGCCGGTAGCCGCCGCCCTCACCCCGCCCCTCTTAGGCCAGATCTGGGAGGGAGCGAGGGAGGGGAGCGCCGCCGGCCACCGCCCTCCGCTGCCGCCTCCATCGGTAGCCGCCACCCTCCGCCGCTGTCAGCGCCAGGAAGAGGACTTAGAAAAAATCTAGGGTATGTAGCCTCTATTTATATTCACTATGTATTTTCGCAAGCGGACCACCTAAGAGGTCTGTCTATAAAAATGAAGGGTATTTCCGCCTACAAAAATGAATTTTCACAGGCGGGCAGCGGGTTTCACCCCGATTTACATTTTTTAGGCGGCTATTTGGCTCCGAAGGTCATGTCCGCCTGTGAAAATAAATACCCAACGTCGGTAAAAATGCTTTTTCTAGTAGTGTTTCGCTGGTATATGTGTCGGTAAAAATAGGTTATTGACCCAGCGCCTGTAACCGGCCAGTTCAGGATCAACATTCTGATCCATGAGTGCGAGTCAAGGTTAATGAAATTTTAGTTTTCCAAGTCAAAAAGAAAAATGCATATGTTTTCGCCCGTTTAGTAGTATTTCTTGATGGAGATTTAAGTTGGAAGAATGGAAATTATCCGTGTGGTTAAGAGCAAGTATAATAGTGAGCTATAAGTCTACTATAAGCTTAGGTGGAGGAGAGAGGTAGTGAAAAATTAAGGATGCTGCTCTTATGCAAGAGCTAGCTTATCACAAGCTCCAAGACAAATCTATTAAATGCATAAGTGAGAGATAAAGAGAGGAGAAGAAAATTGTAGCCAACCTTATAGCTATTCTATTATATATATTGGCTTTAAGATGGGCTAATAGTAGGAAGTGGGCTCTATTATTATCCTTGCTCTTACGGTTATGGTTAGATGAAATTAGAGTCTATGGTGCAACAATCTCCAACTTTATTATAAGCATGGATATTAACTACCCTCTGACAGGAGCTACGTAATCTGGGCGTGAGAGCTAATTGGCACAGCTGCGTTGACCGTGCATGCTTGTCTCATGCCTATGGCACTGCGTTGGGCCCAATAGGCATACAAGTATATCGGTTTAGCTCATTAGCTTATCAGTCTCGTAGCAAAAACTTAAATTTTAAAACCTAATTTTAGAACTAATTTTGATGTTTTTGTTATGGTAGTTTATTTTTAACATTGCCTTTTAAGTCACACACATATAAAGAGAAATTTTCTTTGCCAAGTTCACCAGTTTCTTTATACGTCAACGGAAAGTTATTATTTCTTTATATGCCATTGGTTGAACTTTTTCTTACCCTATATGCCATCTATATCACCATCTTTTATACTTGTTTTGACTTTAGTCAAAGTCAAACTACTTCAAGTTTGACTAAGTTTATAAACAAATATAATAATATTTCCATTAGCAAATTAGTTTTATTAAATTAATAATTAAATATATTTTATAATAAATTTATCTTGGTTCAAGAAAATCACTATTTGTTTCTATAAATTTGGTCAAATTTGACTTTGAGTAAAGTCAAAACATCTTATAACCTGAAACGGAGGGAGTAATAGGGACACAAAATTACAATATTACCCTTTTAATCCCTCGAGGGGATGTCTACTCGTTTATTTGCGTGTCATCCAAATAATTATAAAAATATATTTTTCAATAAGATAGAATAATATGTGATATATCGCTTCACAAATATGAAACTTTAAATTTCACTTTTACAAATTTTTTTAGAAAAAAAATTCAAATTTGGTTATGAGCACACGTATACTAGTTTCAATTAAATTTATTGTTTTTATTACAACCTGTGAAGATCAAATTTGAATTAATTTATTGATATATCAAATATTAATTTATCTTATCATTTATTTTTTAAATATTCATAACAATTTTAATGACTGTAATAACAAAGGGACATCCCATGGATGGACTAGCAAAAATGATAGACCAACTATAAGGTGAAACCATTATGCTTAAGTGCGTATGTTAATAATGGCTGAACAGAAGCAATTAGAAGAATATATGAGGGTAGTTTTATTATTTTGCTGAAAGATTGACAAGGTGAAAGCACTTTGACCGCGATAGTGGCATTTAAAGGATGAAATTTTAGTTCGATGGTTTATAAGGAAACAGTAACTTTTCAGTGGTATATAAGAAAATTCATAAACTTTGAGTGGCATATAATGAATTTTCTCATATATAAAATTTTTACTCATAAACTATTTTTGTCGCTACTAAGCTCTACCGCTAATAATCTAACTATAGGCGATACAATATGACTTACAGGTTTGAAATTTTTGTTTAATTTTGAGTTTTTGAAATATTCTTAAATAAACTAAAATATTGTAATAGAGCCTTTGTAACAGAAAGTTTTATTTCCCCCGAAAGAGAAAGTTTTATTTAAAATTTTAAAAATCCGAGTAAAATTTCTAAAAAAGTTTAATCGTTTAGCTCATACTTTAGAACTTTCAACTCAGAAAACTTTTATAGATATTTCAATGACACTAATGCTGGCACTATTTCTTTACACAAGCAATGGATTGTTTCTTTCTTTTGCAACCGATGTTGGATAAGTCTGCTTCTTTGTCTACTATTAATATGAAAACCACTGCCCTAGCAGTGTTCATGCTAAAAAAAATATGAAAATTACGCTATACTCTCTTCAGACCATTTTACAATTTTTTGGCTACTTGCATGCTGGAAGGGGCAATTAACTTGGGGAAAGGATTGGGGGAAGCAACACTGGTGCGATGATGGAATCATGGACGAATGACCGCACCCAATAGGATTTAGGCTCTGTTTGGGGAGCTTTAGATTCTGAGAAGCAGCTGTTTGGTAGCCAGCTTCTGTGAATCTGGAAAAGCTTTGAAACCCAGCTTCTCCAGCTTCTTGCTTCTTAGTTCATTTTTCAGAATCTGTAACTACAGATTCTCAGAAGCTATGGATTATTTGGGGTAGCTTCTAGCAGAAGCAGCTTTTGGAAAAAGCTGCAGCTGGGAGAAGCTCCCCCAAACAGGGCCTTAAATCCTTGTGCTCTCAAAATTTATGGCCATGTTTGAAAAAAGGAAATGCATAGTTCTGATCCTTTGGAATGGTCTCGATGCCTCCTATTTCACAGGAAATAACAACCAAAGCTAAATGAAAAATTCATTCTGAGGAACACCTAGAGGTCTTCCGACTAGCTCCACAAGGTGGTGGGCTAGCTAGCCTGGGTTCGGAGTCTCACCCCTTCTATTTATTTGATATTAGATCATTTCTTAATTAATATTCGCGTTTTTATGAAAAAATTCCTTCTCGCTCTCCCCTATGTTTCCTGTGATCCAAAAAAAAAAAAACCTCAGGTTTCACTGTGATCCAAACACCTCATGTTTCACTGTTCCTGTGTTTTGAATTGCTTAGTTTTTCATTTACACTCAACCACATTCTTATGTTTCTTCCCTGTCCCTGTCTTTTTCATTTTTTTTAGTGCGTGTTAAGGGGGTGTATTCGTGATCATGTGCGTATGGTGTATATATGTCTTCAATGTAATTAAAAAAGAGAGGAAAATTTAGGTAAAGGAGTGTCCAAATTAATATACAATACATAACCTTTCTTACTCCCTCCGTCCTATAATATAAGGGATTTTGAGTTTTTGCTTGCGCTGTTTGACCACTCGTCTTATTAAAAAAATTTTGGAATTATTGTTTATTTTTTTACTTACTTTATTATCCAAAGTACTTTAAGCACAACTTTTCATTTTTTATATTTGCACAAATTTTTTGAATAAGACGAGTGGTCAAACAGTGCAAGCAAAAACTCAAAATCCCTTATATTATGGGACGGATGGAGTAATAAGCATATGTGGATGTGTATATGTTTTGAATTCCTGTGTTTTACCTTTTTTATAGTGTGGGTTTGTGAAGGGAAGTGTAGAGGTGGCCATCCAAGGTAGCCTCCTGCTTGTTTGTTAGCCGATGGTGGGACATTGGTCGGTGGCTGTACGTCAAAAGGGTTTGGAGGGTGGGGCTAGCTGCTGCTATATCCACAGAGACACTTTGGCATGCGAGGGTTGGGAGATTCTGAGCGAAAGCCTAGTCCTTTCAGGGCCGACAGTGGGATGCTCTTGAGCATCGTAACCCCGTTGGGGGGCACTGTCATGGTGTCTCTTCTCTCCATAGTGGAATCCTCAGGTGAAAACCACATCCTTGTTTCCTAGGGCAAGCAATGGCAACGCCATCGACATCGTATATTCTTCCTAAAGACGTCGCTTGGTGGTACATTTCCGACCTAACTTTTGTCCAGACTTTGTCCTCTTGTGGCATCCTAATCGTCTCAAGTTGATCACGTTGGAGCGCCTAGTGGGAGAGAGCGGATCCATTCTTCTCTCTTACCCTCTTCCCCTTCAACCCTAAGATGTGGATGGAGAGAAGTGTGTTGGGTATCGTGCCTTTTGCTCCCAGTAATTGGTGTGTCATAGACGCTTAGTTTGATTAGCCATTTTTGTTTTTCCTAATTAGCCTCCCAGGATAACTTTTTATATTTTCTCCTACTATATTAATATGAAACCTCTATTGTCTCGTACAGTTCGTTTAAAAAAAAGAAAATATAACCTTTCTTCATAATATACATAACATTACATCTGCATGTGTATGTGTGCAGCTTTTTTAAAAAAATAACAAAGAGAGGTACACCATGCCAAGGATAGAAGTGGTGGATGTTATCCACAGAATATCTGGTGTCTTTTTCAGGTGAATGCCTTCCCACTTCCTATATCAAAATCCCCCATCATTTGCAGCATTTGCACTCCCTCTCCCTCTCTCTCTCTCTTCCCACTAAACTCTTTCAACCTGGAGACTGGGACAAGGTGGAGGAGATCAAGGTGGCAACCCCTGCAGGTGCTGAGTGCAGGAGGTGCATCCTCCCTCCCATTGTGTGCTCCTCCTGCTATGCACCTCCAGCACCCAGCAGCTGCAGCAGCCATGGCTGCTCCTGCTCCCCCAGCAACAGCTCACCTCCAGCAGCAGAAGCCTGCAATGGCAGCAGGCAGCAGGCTCATGGGACAGCAGCAGCTCCTCCTCATCCAGAAGAGAAGAAGCCTGTGAAGAGCAACCTCAAGAAGGCACCACCAGCTGCAGTTGCAGCTCAGGAAGAGAAGAACAGGGTGTCGTTGGTGGTGAGCAGGAAGGTGACCTGGCCGGATGCTCAGGGCAAGGATCTTGCCCATGTCCTGGAGTTCCATCCCAGGTAGGCATATTGAAAGAAAAAGCCCAAGAAAAATGTAATTTAGTGGTAATTAAATTGGATTGTTTCAAGGTTCAGACAATGGTCTGACATGAATGGCTGGCTGCTATTTTCTGAAATATGATTCTTTTTAGGCTCATTATGGCATATAAATTCAAAGTTCATGATTGATGCTAAGTTATATACTGGAACTGTTTTTCTTGATAGATTTGTCTTTTGGATTGCATGGATCGACTAATGGTTTAACTATTTAATTTTTCATTGAAAGCATATTGGAGGATGGGAATCTGAAAGGAGCAACAAGATCCTGCATTTGTGTGATTATGTGAGCTAGATTGAGGTAAAATAAATTTATATATGGAGTTCGCGCGTATATCCCACAAATTTGTCAGACCGTGTGTGGATTTAAACAAAACTGTTACATAATTATGTTTTCAATCAAACTGGAGTAAAATGGCACTACATATATTGACCTCTTAAAATTGTTTTAGATCTAAAGATACTGGTCACTTTTGCTACAACGCTAGCTAGCCAACTCGCACCAATTTTTGGTCAACTAATATAGAAAGCTGGCTTGTTCTCTTATTCGCAACTGTTATATGACATTGATGTAATATCAACTGTATGTCCAGAGTATACGGAAGTTGAGAACTAGTAATCGACTTCCAGTTTTCGAAACATATAAATATTCAAAACAATTAAGAGCAAAGCTCCTGCTTTTACTATAAAAAAGTTCAAAACAATGGTGTTCAATTATGTTCTGTTCTTATTCTTTGGTGAATTTGTAGATCTTCTGCCCTTAATTAGTTTCGGGGAAAAAAATTGTGCTCTTCGATTATGTAGACAATTAATGTCAAAAGAGTGTTCTTTTCAACACACATAGCGGTAGAAATGAATCCGCTCAGATTTTGTTTGAAATTCAAGATTTACTTAAACTAAATCAGTTCGTCTAAACTTCTAGTACAAAAACCTAGTACTGTGAACACGTGGGCTGAAATTAATGTACTAGACGTAGGAGTACCTCAGATTAATGGCCCAGTGATGATCCATCAACATCTCTCTAAGGCACAGACACAGCTGCTGCTAGCTGGTCTTTGCAAAACCGACAACGAGCTCTCTTGTCGGAGGGTCCCACGCGCCAGACAGCTAGATCCCCTTGCCCCTCTCAAACTTCACCTTCATGTCATCCTTCCATCATCGAGAAAAATCAATGATGGAATGCCTGTAATTTCTTATGGGATTGAAAGTTATAAAAATATATTGTTTTATCATTGTTTTTAAAATAAATATGAATATTAGTTAGGTATGTATGTTGCAAAAAAATAATCGCTTTCACTTTATCATGGGCTGAGACCATTGTTTATTTTAACCATTCTTATCTACTCCAAAAACATTCATCAGGAAAGCTTAGGGCCTGTTCATTTGTTATGCTATTTTCAACCTTACCAAATTTCGGTATAGTTGCCAAAAAAATGGCTACATTTACTTTGCTGCCAAATTTTGGTAACTATATAAGAAATCCTACCAAAATTTTGGCAAGTCAATGCAAAAATTTGGTAAGGTATTTTTTGGCATCAAAGTGAACAGGCCCTTAGACTATCTCTATAGTTAAAAATATAAGTTCTAGGCTACTACTTTCTAATTTCTCTGTATCGCTAGTCTAAGGCCATGTTTGATTCAGATTAGGATTATTATAATCTGGATTATTAAGAGTAAGCTGAAACAACCAGGTAGATTATTATGATAGATTATTATAATCTAATAATCTCCTTTGGAGGAGATTTTTTCAGATTATTGAGTGGCTAAAGACTCACTACCCTTAGATGCCTCCAATAATCTAGAGAAACAAACAACTCACAGCTTATTCTATATCAGCTTATTATAATTCAGCTTAGAGTAATCTGATTTAATAATCTAGATTATAATAATCTTAAACTGAAACAAACAGGGCCTAAGGCTCTTTTTATTTAGCTTAAAATTATTAGAATCTACAGATAGCTTATTATAATGTATAAGCTAGGTTATTATAATATGGCAATCCACTCTAAAGGTGCTTTTTTTAAATTATTGGGTAGCTAACAGCTAACAAACAGCTAATAATCCAGATAATCAAATAGCTAACAGCTTATTCTATGTCGGCTTATTATAATCCAGCTTATAGTAATATGGCTCAATAATCTAGATTACAATAATCTTAGGGCCAATTTGATTTGGAGGAAAAACATGGGGATTTTAGAGGATTTCAATCCTATAGGAAATGTTTCTATGAAGCCCTTTGAAACAAAGGATTGAATCATATCCAATCCAATCCTTTAAAATTCCTATGGAATGGACAATCCTATAGAGATTTTGGAGGAAAGTTACCAAGAGATTGATTTTCCTCCAAAATCTCTATAGGATTATCCATTCCATAGGAATTTCAAATGATTGAATAGGATTCAATCATTTGTTTCAAAGGGCTTCATAGGAAAATTTTCCTGTAGGATTGAAATTCTCCAAAATTCTTATGTTTTTCCTCCAAATCAAAGGGGCCCTCAACTTCTTGGTAACTTTCCTTTGAGTCTATCTATCTCATCCAATTCTTAGGTTTTTCCTACGATTCAATCAAACGGTTATTCATGTGTTTTTCATGCGTTTTGCAATCAACTATTTTACACTTACATTCCTATCAAAATTCTACGTTTTTCATGTTTTCTCAATCCTACGATTCAAAGGTACCCTTAAACTGAAACAATCAGGACCTAAATCTACTCTCTATCTCTCAGCTCTCATAGCAAGAGGTAAGTGTATTTGAATTTTTCACAAAAAAAAAGGGGCAGGAGTGGTAGTGGCAACCGCCACCAGTACCAAGTATATAAATATTATTGTTGAATTTATACGGAGCATTTTTTTAAAGAAATTTCTCCACTATTTTTCCATTAGAATATAGCGATTATTTCTAACAAATAATACCTTGACTTTATTAATTTGACCGGATAAAGTCTAAGGTAATAGTTAGAGGCAAAAATTTGCTTTTCTGTCCACATGATTAACCATGTTGAAATTTCAGTATTCAGATGATTTGTTTGCATTGCATCAGGTATGTGAGCATGAGTCAAAGCACATCTCGCAAGGCAAAAGGAGAAGGTACTGTTTGTCTGAATGCATGAGCTGATCTGGTTCTGCATGAGAAGAGCCAAAAAAGCCAAAGCTTTCCTTGAGCACCGTCATCAGTGCCTGCTCTTCCAATTAACTGTATGCGTGTGTCTCCTCCGTGGTTTACATCCTGGCATGTCCAAACAAATTACTTCAGTGCTTTCCGTCCTGGCCACCAAAGCAAATGTCAAGACTTGGACAATCTAGAGAGAGAATAACATTTCGCCGTCTGCAACTATCTTTATTTATTTTAAGAGATAATTATACCTTGGCTTGGGCGTATATTTTTATCTACTTGCTTCGTTCCAAAATATAAAGGATTTTGCTTGGATATAACACATTCTATGTCCAGATCCGTAGTACTAGAATGTGTCCCATCCAAAAAAAAATATGTTATATTTTGGGATGGAGCATGTCAGAATTTGGATGGAGAGAAGATCTTCTGTAGTATTACATATGCAGTACTGCTCACTAATATGTGGGTCCCATAGACCCTCGGGTCTACATGTCCAGTGCGCAATACTGCACATACATTGATATAGAGGATCTCAATCTATCTATCTATCTATCTATCTATCTATCTATTATCTATCTATTATATACTAAAAGTCCATTAATCTTCCTACAAACACTCTCAAACCGCCACATGGACATCCTATAAACGCTCCTAGATCGCCACGTGGCAGGAAAAATCCAAACCTTCTATTTTCATTTAAGTCTGTGGACCCATTATTTTAGACCGTTAGATTAGATCTTTTAAAATTCCACCACTCCTAATCTTCTTCCGTGTACGTAATAGGGTGTAGAAAAAGAACCTCCCTACTAATCTACTGCACGTGCACGTATGACACAATTATTTGTGTGCGAATTTTTCGTTTTGAACAACTCTTATGCACAAGAAGTTTTGTAGAAGTTGGTCTCGGCAAGATGAACAAACCTGCCTTATGAATATCTTATACATATAACAACTTAGCACGACGCATAATCTGTGCATTAATTTGTACACCTATCGAAAAGTATCCATCCATAATCACAGTACAGAATTGTAGTGTTGTGCCCATTGTCAATGTCATTAGCAGATTGAAGTAGTGTCTGTGCGATGACAAGAAAAATACGTACAAAATGTTTGCTAGATAAAAGCCAAAAAAATTGCATACATACCTAGGACACACCATTCTCCAAAAAAAACATATATAATACCTACCTATGCAAGATCAGGAAAAAAATAATGATCCCCTCTCGATGCTCAGATTAAAAGTTGTTATGTTTGTATGCTTATGATCTGTCCGCCTAAGCTTACATACTTAGTACAAGCTATTCGCTGAAAAAAAAACATATATGGATGCTACCTAGGAATGTACTATTGCACGGGGAAAAATAAAGAAAAATAAACAAAAGTTCGGATCTATAATAAAAAAGATATATCAAAACCCACTAACTCCTATGTTAGTGAGAGATTGTTACTCGAGCAAATATTTTTCCACATGGTACTCGGTAGTGTCAGCCGACTTCACATGTTAGGGAGACATTCACATTTAATTCTAATCGTATTACCCTATTAATTGGTACTGATGGTTATCTATAATACATTTGGACATAAGACATGGAGAACTATATATGTCTGAAGTATTCGTGATTTTTTTATTGTATTACTAATGTGTTAGGCTCTTTTTATGGTACTAAAACAATTCCATTTATTAAAAGGGACCCAACTTTTAAGACAATAATAATCTGTAGTGGTGATAGGTGTGATAGGTGAGTTTACATGTAAGCAGGACTAAGTGATTATTGTTTGAAATTTGAGAGACATTATTATCATTTAGTGTATCAAAGTCTATCATCTATTTCACTTTCACGGTATAAGTATTTTTTTCTTCTTTTTTAGTTCTCATTATATGATAATTTACCATCTCCTACAGTGAATATCTAAGATGAATATGGTGAGATAATACTTCTTTTTTAGTGTTCTTTTTATCATCAAAACATAAAATACCCGCGCATCAGCGCGGGCTTCCTTCCTTGTTGATTTGAACAAGGGGTAGAGAGACATTTTCACTTAAGACCAGGTAAATTTGCATAAGGTTTCATCATGTACCCTTCTACATCCTCCCAAAATCTCTCCCTTCTGCCTTGAGCTCGCTACGCCGGTGAACAGGCTGCCACGGTTGCCGGCAGAGGTGAAGGGCGGTGTGCACCACCACACTACGCTAGACAAATAGCAACAGTCGCGAGTCCATCTCCTCTTCTTTAGCTTCCTTCTCCTCAAGGCTCAAGCTAGCTTGTGCTGGTGAGCAGGCCCCTTGCTCGTAGGCTAAGATTAAGCATGCGAGTCGGTCGAGTTCAGGTGTAGGTGGACATGGAGCTCGCCTTTTTATTTCTAGCCTGACCTCTCACTCAAGATCTGGCTGGACCGGAGGTCGAGCCAAGCGCCTACAGAGGAGAGGCGAACTGGACGAACCTTGGCAACGAACAAATGTGATTTGGAGCTTGGAAAGAGTACACCCAAGATCTCTCATCTTATCACCGAACACGAATTACAAAATCATCTCTCAACCCAAAAGGCCAAAACCAGATACAAAACACATCCTCTAACTTCCAAACACAAGTACAAACAAGGTCTCTCAGCGGTATTATCCATGTTTTTGGCTGGCATAGCGTATACGTGGCTCCTTTGAGTGGATTTTCATCACACGTAACATTGACAAGGTGCTTACATGGCATTTTGATCAGGAAAGAAATAATAAAATAATAAAAAATGGTGGGGTCCATTGGTCAGATCCCCTTCTTCCTTTTCTCTCATCTTCCTCAATTTCTTGCGCAAGCAGGGAGAAAGGGCAGAGGAGTAGGTGACCTCGACGGCAGCGGCGCTGGGGATTGGAGTGGTAGCCGGCGGCAGGTGGCTCAAAGGAGCACCAACGACAACGGCGGTGGGGAGAGTTTGAGGGGAGAGAGTGTGTGGAGGAAGCTCCTCGTGGGTCTCCAGCGTCGCTGCCGTTGATGAATCCATCCATCCATTGCTTTCTGGTCGCGCAACTCTCCAGCTCGTTGGCTCACCCCATAGGCCACAGCATCGCTACTATTGGAAACGATAGGCTACTGGGACCGGCACGACTCTAGATCGGGGGCGGGAGGAGCAACCTAGGTTGTGTGGCGATAGCACGGCATTGGGAAAGAGCAGCTGTCAGCAAAGAGGAGGTGGGCATCGATGGCGGCGTCACCGAGCCCATGAATCGGGAGCTCAATGACGACCTTGAGCTCGAGGCCGCATTCGACCACGGTGAGCTCGCGGGGGTAGGAGTGGCCGGGAGACCGCCATGCTCCTTCCCTGCCGACCGCCGGCCGCGCCCGCGACGCCGTCCCTCCTCCCCATTGGCCGTCATCAAGAAGATGGGGACGGTCGGTCGAGCTCGATGACGCCGTCATCGGCGACACCCAACTCCTCCAGGGCCAGCCGTGCTCCTCGAAGGGGAGGATAGGAGAAGAGAGGAAGAGAGGTGGTGAGGGAGAGGAAGTAGTCATTGACATGTGGGGCTAACATGGATCCCACGCTAACTCAGCTGCCACGTCGGACAAAACCGTCTAAGTACCTAGAGTGACCTGGTTTTGTAAATTGAGGGATGCCATATATTTGATTTTTTGGTTGAAGGACGATTTTGTAATTCGGTAACAAGATGAACCTCCGATGTACTTTTTCCTTGGAGCTTTAGACCAGATCTGGAGCAACACGTGAAGATGGTAGGCCACGGGCTGATCTCCTGTTCACCAAGGCTGTAGTCTGTAGACGCATGAGGATAGCAGCAGTGGGCAAATCTCCAAAAGTCGGCACCGTGACCAAGGTTGCTCGCCGACGTGATGAGCTTGACTGCTCGAGGAGGGTGAAGGGAGTGAAAGAGGGGAGATGTTTGAGAAGAATGGCACAAAGAAGTGGCACACGTAAATGTTGAAATGATATGATCTATATGGGAATATGGGATTTGGCAAGAGATAAAAAAAATAGCTGAAAGAAACCAAACATGGTGTAATAGTCATTTGTGCTCTAATACAGCACAAATGAATTGAGTTTGATTTTGAGAGATCTTATAACTTGTACCTATTCTACTAATGATGGGAGTTTCATCCATCGACCCTCCCGTCGCATCACACACAGATAATAACCCACTCCAAAAACTGATCCAAAAATATCACCACACAACACCAAGAACAATGCCAATCAGATCAGCTAACACAACCCACTCCTGCATAAAAACTGGCACTCCACATCCTCACCTAACTTGTTGGGTGGCAATAGAAGAAAAACAACTATATTTTTACGTATGTTCATATGTTTCTACTCTCTTCCATCATAAATACTACTCTTTTGTGTTGTATGTTCGTGGTCCGCATGACCGTGAGGTGCTAACCTTATCTTTTTATTTTGCTACAAGTTTAGGTACACTAAAATTTAGGAAAAAGTCCAAATATCCCCCCTCCTAAACTTTAGATGAAAGTCCGTCTAGCACCCTGAACTTTAAAACCGAACATCCAACCCAACTGAACTTTGCCATACTATCCATATTACCCCCTAAGGTGGTTTTAGATGACGGTTTTGTATATTTTGGAAGTTTAAACGAACAATTTTGAATAACTAATATATCATATTTACATTTGATCAGTTATAAATCATCATTTTATTCTTATACAGTAATATCATGCTATTATTATGTTGGTACTTGTTTGGAAGCGGGAGGTAATAAGGAGAAAAAACATTTAAGTCAAAATTTTAATATATATGTTCAAAGTGTATGACATGTAATTAAACTCATCCAACTTATATACAAATTAGATAAAAACCATTATGCAAAATCATCCTTGGGGGTTATATAAACGGTATTGTAAAGTTTAGGAGGCAAATGTCCGGTTTCAAAGTTCAGGGTGCTAGATGGACTACTTCCATCCAAAGGTTAGGGGTTATTTGGATTTTTTCCCTAAAATTTTTAATATAATGCTCATTTAGAAGATGTGTTAATTACCCAATAAAATGAGATGCTTAATCTGTCTGTCAAAGAAAAAGGATATCACTATATTATTTTTAATGGTGGAAAGTTGAGGTTAAGAATGCAATTTTAATAGTCAAATAAAAATTGAAGCGGAAGAGGTTTTCTAGACATTGACATGGGAAACTATTTTGATCCCAATGTTTCCTCATTTGTTTAAAATTACTGGAATAGTTATAAAAAATCTTTTTAAAAAAATTTAACGGCACTCACACAACATATATATACCATTCAAAAAAAAACTCTAAGTCCAAACTCCACTCACACGACATATGAAAAAACAAATTCAACGTATGAATAGTAACGGTACTATTCACACCTAAATTTTTTCTCAATGTATAGGTCAAATTTAAACTTAAATTTTAGTGGACTAATATATGTCAATATACTTTATATTGGCATTTTTTTTGAAAATTTTCACAATTATTTGCATTGGAATTAGGGGAAAAGATACACGACATAATATCCCCTCAAGCAATTAGAATCCATTCCCCATTGACATCCAAGTTTCTTTTTATGGGAATTACTATCAGGCTTTGCCCAACGGTATAGCTTTTATAAAAAAAATATTTATCTCATACAAAGAGGACATAGAAAAATATGAAGAAAATTACAAAGTTTGTAATCAATCAAACACTAGGTGTTTAAGGAGGTCCTTCATTCTACACATATGCAAGAGAAGTTCTCTCCTGAACTGAATCCTCCATCCTTAAAAAAATATCAAATCATTTATCTGTTACCAAAAATGCCAATAAGCTATAAAGAAAATCCCAAGGAAACCCTTCATTACAAAGCACATTCTTGCCAAAACTATCATCTCGAAGAAGTTGACATTGGTGCTCCAACTGATACCCAAGTGCTGCCAACATTCCAAACAAAATGGACAAACAAAGAAAAGACGCAGTCTTGTTTATCTCCTCCTTTCAGAGCAAAGAACACAAGTAAGATCATCATCTTTTTTTTCACAATGCCTACGGTCTAACATATCTTTTGTGTTCAGTCGGTCCATCGATAAAAGCCAAGCAAACATTTTTATTTTCATTGACATCCAAGGTGATGTCGAGGTTGAGAATAATAAGATAACAATAACTATGAAAAAAATGATAGCAACAATTAAATTAATATTTGGTTTTGACAACTGTGGGAAATGAACTAAAAGCAGAAAGGGGAATTAAGTGCATGGTAACCGGATGGGAGACTTGGCTAAGCTTTCTTTTGTCATCAGAAGCCAAGATTCCCGCACTCCTAGGGTTCTTCTTTCTCTATTTGAGAGGGGGAAGCGTGTGGATCTTACTATTTCAGTTTCTTGCTAGTAAAGCATATACTAAACGATCCAATACGAAAAGTCGACCATGTCATCATGCATTGCAAGCTTGCACGATACAACGTGTTCCATTTAAGCAAAGGAACGAATACAGCAACGAACTAGTAAAAGATACGTCGTCATAAAGAATGGACACACACACACAGAAGCGATCGAGTAAACTCCAATGCACCGATGCACATCATAATTTAGAGGTCCAATGCACATCTGTAAGAGAAGCTAGGTCAAGCCAACAAAGAATTGCATTCGAAAGTGACGGTACCGAAGATGATATTTAAGGAGCAAAGTTTTGCATCTAGACTAGACTGCTGGATAATATACATTGATATATAGCGTAGACCAACTAAAGAAAAATAAATTTGAGTTTGGCATTACTATTTACAAGGATAGCTTTGGCTGTTTGCCAAATTAATTTATACAGCAAGAGCAATGCTGCTTTAGATCAATCACGGATATGATGGCTCCTGTGGGTGTATCTCAAACGCTGCCGTCTGGGCACAAATGATGGGTCATCAAGGCTCCTGTTGATACCTGAACGATGGCTACTACCATTCGGCTGATCAAATAGCTGGGGACGAAAGCCATGATAGTCGCTGTTGTTCCTGTAGGGTCGATTCAACAAGCCTCGACGCGCTAGGCTCTGTCTACTCGGCCGTCGGATACGGTGCCAATCTGACCGTGAGCTGCTCCTATTGGTGAACGAAAACCGGGGCAACACTCTGTTATTCTGAGGCTGAAACCTTGGCAGTCCATGCCTTTCATCTGCCCAGATTATTGATGATTCTGGAGCTTCATTCGGCAAGAGCCTAGGGGAGTTATACCTGTTATCAGGTGATTCTATTGAGTCGCGCCACCACTCATCGTTGCTTTCATCTCCAGTGTTTTCATCAGGAGACATCGCATCTCTAGTCTCAATAACATAGTCACCAACTATTATTGCCCCAGGATTCTGTGACCTAATTGCACTTATGACATCACCAACCTCCTGTTCACGCTCAAGGCGATCCCAAGTCCTTTTCCTCGAAAGATCCACATGTGCAGGCTTTGCAAGCAAATGGGCGGTTCTAGCGTGTTCACGCAGCTGCTCGTAGGTTCCAACAAATTTGCAGGAATCATGAGAACATGTTCTCAACTTCTCGTTAAGATACTTCCTCACTTCTCCAGCAGGAATCCAGCCAGATACAGAACCTCTACAGAGAGGGCACTTCAAGTCAGCTGAACTTTGCATGGCATCATGACATTCTTCCATTAAAATGCTATCTTCTACGGGTAATGTTGAATTTGCAGGTTCTTGGTTATTAGCATTATTGACATGTCTTCCTAGTCTTGGGCTTTGTAAATGTCTGGGAATCATACTATAGTGAGAGCTTCGTTCAACAGTTCTGTTATTGGAGTTTGAAATCACCGAAGTGGTTGAGTGTGAAGCACGGACCTTACTATCTCCATTCATTTTTCTGAATCGATCTAGGCAATTAGAGTGTCGATGACTTGTGTTACAAATGTAACATCTACAGCCATTCTTGTAGGAACTGCATACAAGTAAAACAGCATTGTGGGGTTGCTCCATACAAATAGGGCAAGAAATCCTGTCCCATTCCATATGCAGAGCAGTGCATGATGTGACTGTAGATCTGTTACTTTTCCTACTTGTCATCTTGAAATCAACTGTGTTGAATTCACTTGATCGTTAGAATTTTTGAAAAGGAAAAACTATTCAGTGTCTCAAACTTAGCATTTACGCAATTAGTGAAAAACATTACCTTGCTAAACATATCCTTATATACTCATTAAAAACCATCAATTTTATAACAACAAACATGAATGATCCAAATTAGAAGTGCCAAAACAAAATACCAAGGCAAATTAGTCAGGTCTAACACAATTATTAAGAACTGTATAAAAATGAATTTCAGATCATTTAGCAGGCATCAGATTTTAGTTTTCCAAATAAATATTAGTCCTAAAGAAAGTATTGTGGTGACTAGTGAGGACGATCTCATGCATAAAATAATTAGAAAAAAAAACGAAACAAGTGAATGAGAAAGTGCAGCTAAACAACAACTATTCTTGAATCATTATATCCATGGTTCCTAAACAAAGATTGCACTAAAAAAGAACAAACTGCAGAACTCCCCCCTAAAAACATTATTTTCGGTCTTCTATGGTGTATAGAAATCAAGAAAGTTTGTTTAAATGCAGAAGAGGTGTTGGCAACATGTACACAAACAAACAAAACAACAGATGAAAAACGAACAAATGGGACATCATTAAGCATATACAAATAAGTACATTTAACTTATCTTTGGACAGAATGCTAGTACTAACCTACAGGGAGCAGTTGTATGCACTGAACACTTCAAAAGAACAAAGGATGGTTATGGTATTCACGATAGGAATCCTGAAAAAAAATGTTTACAGTTAGTAAAAGAGAAACTAGGTAAGCAGAATCTACGTAAACAGAATCCAGTGACGAGAATAAAGAATCCAAAACAACTCTGTACAGACACAACAATAGGTATCAGCACATTGTGGTTCATCTGGACCAAACATAAATTCACCATACTTTCTATCAGTTTGGACAGGAGTTGCAGAAACCATTATAATCAAACATATTCAGCTGCAAACGGCTAATTTTGTAGCCATTCTCCAATTTATCTCATTATGCTAGACACAGGAGTTACCGTAAGAAAATATTAGATCTCCTTCAATACATTATGTACGTGTATGCATCCATCTATTTCAAACGTTCCTAACCAAATCTACACGTACGAACTAGAATTAGGTAAAGTTTCCTGTAGGAAAAATGAACAAAGGTCCTTGAGCCACAACATTTAGTGAGCACGCATGTACAGCGTGCGTGAGTTTATTATAGCATTCATGATTGCATAAAGATTCAGCACTACATAAGTTTTCATCACATGTATTACGGTGAATATCTCCTAAATTACCATAGAAATGGACTATTTTCAACCACAGGCTTCTATATAAACACTAAAAAGCGTAAAATCGCGCAGTGATCCATGCACAGTTGGCATCAAGCAAACTTGGCCCTAACGGATTCATATGTATCCTGGATCGATCATCGTCAGACCTCCGTACAAATCAATACACGAACGAACGACAAGGACAGCAACCCACGAAAGGGGAGAATTCCTGACGCTCCTCGTTCATCGATGCCTTGAAACGATAGAAATTAATCCCCCCGCAACCCACTCTTGTTACAATCTCCGAACAGATCAGAACCAAATCGCTGCCCCCCCCCAACCCAAATTCACCCAACGAGACCTACCCCAACGAGACCTACCCAAATCAGCGACCGATCACCGCAAACCGAACCCTTCCCCCCACACAACCCACCGATCGATCGGGACGGATCGACCGACCGATCGGTCGATCCGCAGGCGCAGATCAAGAAGCAGGACACCGACGGCGGGGGAGGGAGAGAGAGAGAGAGAGAGAGAGAGAGAGTGGAAAGAGGGGGGAAATTTTACGGGGGGGTTTGACGCGACTCCAGATCGGAGGACCCCCGTCGCCGTCCCTCCGCCGCTGCCTGCCTCTTCTTCTCTTTTTCTTCCCCCTTTTTTTTTTTCCTCCAGTTTTCTTTTCTTCTCGAGGAAGAGGTGGGTGGGGGGTGGCGTCGCTTGCTGCGTTTGCGTTGCGCTTGCGTTTGTGTGGTCCGCGCGTGAGAGCATAGGTCGCGGTTTTATAGACGGGGGCGAGGGGAAGGGAGGAGGATTTGCTTTCTTGGTTTCGTTTCGGATTTTCTTTCTTTTTTTTTTTCCCCTTCGGTCGGTTATAGGAACCGACGATATGTTCATGCGCCGGGTTAATCGGGTTAGGTGTACCGCCTCTCTCTCTCTCTCGTTTGCGTTCTGTTCTGTCACGCACTTGTAGTGGGTCCGATGGCCCTAGGCAGTCAGCCTAGGGGTGGCCCACGCCTCACATCCGACGGCCTTTGGTTTGATTTGATTATTTTTTTTTTCGAGGGACTGTGTAAGCAGGCGTAAAGTGTAAAAAAACGTGATTAAGGTTATCCTTTATCCGTCTCAATACAAGTGCACATACTTCATAGTACAGAATGTGACATATTCTAATACTATAAATCTAAGTAGATAGATGTTAAATTATGAAAGGAGTCAACACTGTTTTCGTAAAAAAAAAAGGAGCCTAGCAAAAACCCGTAAGGGTTAAATTAAGAGGTTTGAATTGAATTCAATTTATTCTCATTTTGGAACATGTCGTAACTCAAATTTTAAATGCGCTATTTCACGAAAAAAATGATGGAGAATGATGCAAAAGGCCTCCCATTCAACCCTACGCTATGATGGGTGTCATAACTATCAAACAACAGCTCAGCGGGGAGATTGTGGCGCCTAACGCAAAGCGCTAGAAGGAGGAGAAATGGATTCCTGTGATAAAGTTGTGGCTGTGGCGCACAGAATCTAGAAGATCAAGGAGATCTACCTTCATTCCATTCCCATCAAGGAGCATCAGATCGTGGAGCAACTTGTGTCGGGGCCCAAGAAAGAGGTGATAAAGATCACTTCTATGCAGAAGCAGACCCGTGCCTGGTAGTGCATCAAGTTCAAGATGTTTGTTGTCGTCGGCGATGGGGACAGCCACATTGAGCTCGGTGTCAAGTGCGCCAAGGCAACAACGATGTCTGGCGCAATCATTCTTGCCATGTTTCGTTGTGCCGGTCAGAAGGGGCTACTAGGGAAACAATATCAAGAAAGCCCCACACCGTGTCGTGCAAGGTTGCCGACAAGTACGGCTCTGTTACTGTCCGCATGATGTTGCCACCCATGGGCTCCAGCGTCGTGGCGACGCGTGTGCCCAAGAAGGTGCTTAAGTTCGCCGGCATCGAGGACGTCTTCACCTCGTCACGTGGCTCCACCAAGACCCTCAGCAACTTCGTCAAGGTATCTTCAATTCATCTATGCTCTGTGAAATGTTAGCTTCAATTCGTCTTCACCTATTGTGCGGTTCCACCTAACCACACCACTGCACCATCGTGCTCGTCATGAGGCCGCCGCCAACAGTGCTTGCCTTGGGAGAGAGATGGAGAAGAGAGGAGAGATAAGAGTCGCTAACATATAGGTCCTACCTACTGACTTAGCGAGTTAACCGTGGTCAATATGTCACGTTAGCAGAAATCATTTATCAAACCACAAAAGAAATCTATTTGCACCGGTTTTGCTCTTTGAGAGATGTGACTGAATCATGAGCAAGCATTGGGAGAGGCAATATAGACTTTTCCTGTCCGTGGCGTCGTAAGTTTATATGTGCTGTGCTTTAATGGGCTGAGCTCAAACAACGAACAAATTGGGTTAGGATTTTGTTCAAAGTGGGCTTATATGGGCCTGACCGGATTGGATTACGTCACTATAAAGCCTGTTGAGAGCGTCGGTTTTTTTAGTGCTAGTTCAGATTGTAACTAAAATAAATCTTACCAAATTTTAGTAGGATTTCTTACGTATTTACTAAATTTAACAACATATTAAGCGTAGATATTTTTTATAACTTTACCAAAATATAATATGGTTGAAAATAGCATCAAATGAAACGGGCCCTTAATTTCCAATACAAGCCGCCGCCGCTGCCTCCGTTCCTGCGACAGTCTCGCCCTCCGAGACGCGGTGCGGCATCGCCGACGCGGAGCAAACGGGATGGTAGTGGGTCAGGGGAGGGATCGTCGTTCGCCGGGCTTCCCCTCGACGCGCTGTTCGAGATCCTCCTGCTCTGTGGTTTGGTTGCCCGCCAGCAGCCCGAGGGAGATCTCCATCTCCCGCCCCAGCGGCTCAGCGCCGTCTGCCGCGGCCGTGGTCATCAACGCGCACGCGTCCTGGTCGAGCCCGTCGTTCCTCGCTCCATCGTACGTCAGCCAGGTTTAAGGCGCATCACCAGTTCACCACCGACACCACGCTGAACCCGGCCATTGGTGTCGACAAAGAGCATCTAGATTCTATCTATGTGTGGGATTAATTAGTAAAACAGCATGGATCAGCACGAGACATGATTTCCGTTGATTGCTCCGGCTGGCCAGCTGACTACCAGAACGTACGATAAGTTTTAGATCAATCAGCATATACTCATCCGGCCGGAGACTAGGTCATATTTAGATTATAGCCAAAATAAACCTTGTCAAGTTTTGACAATGCTAAAATTTTAGCAAGAAAGCAATATTGTCAAAATTTTGGCAGGATTTCTTATGTATTGATTATGTATTAATCAAATTTGGCAACAAACTAAACGTAGATATTTTTGGCAATTTTACCCAAAAAATAGTATGGTTGAAAATTGTATCAAAATGAACCGGCCCTATAAATGCCATTGTCACGTCTAAAGTAAAATAAAATTTTGGTGAAGTGTATCTCGTGATCACGTATACTTCCTTTGAAGTAGTACACGTATATGAACTTTTTGGGTTTACGGACTCGAGCACTCAATTGACTTCCGATTTCATGCATACAAATCCCATTGGCACATATTGCATTCTCAGCGGTCTTATGTGTGACCTTCTGATTTACTTTTTGAGTAAATATAAAAAAACTGCAATTATCTATATTAATATAAAAAGAAGGAGTTGCCCCTTGCAATCCTACTGGTGAAATCATCCTATCTCATCTCATCCGTCCATCCACCATCTCATCTAATCTATCCGTCCATTCACCATCTGATATAATCTAATCTATTCTCAATCGCTGTGCCAATACCACCGATTCCACCTCCGAAACGAGATGATTCCGCCCCGAGTGCGCGATGAGTCCGCCGCACCAATCTCCGCCCCCTCCTCCACTCCTCGCATCCTCCCTCCTCTCATCTCATCCACGCGAATCCCCGCCGCCTCACTCGCTCCACCCGATTCCCCGCTACTGCCAGACCAGCCGCCCCCTCCTCCCTCCTCCTCAGCCGCGCGAGGAATCCCCGCCGCCTCGCTCGCTCCTGATTCCCCAATGCCGCTGCAGTCCACTGCCGGACCAGCCACCCCCTCCTCGCTCCTCCTCCCTCCTCCTCTCAGCCGTGTGAATGCCCGTCGCAGTCCATCGTTGGACCAGCGCCGCCGCTACCGCGCCTCCACCGCCGGACCACCTCAATCGCTGCACGCCTCCTCGCGAGTCCCCGCCGCACGCCACCGCATCGTGTGCCCCTGCAGGCGCCGTGGTGGTTCTCCTTCCCTAACCCGTCGAAGTTCACCGGAGAAGCCCGGCCCCTTCTCTCAAACTCGCTCACCAGAGACAGAGAAGATGAATAAACGCGTGGAGAGGAGGAAGAGGGTGAGTCGCATGCTGCCTGCTCCGATTCCCCTCCATGTGCGCGAGTTCTGGCATCACGGCATGAACTACCTCTTCGGCCCCAGGGATCTCATGCCTGTTGTGAATGTGGTTGTCTGCATCGGTTGTGATCCGTTCACGGACTGGCTTCTTGGTTCTTTCTGAACTCCATTTCTTGACTCGAATCCACATTCTCTGATTTTTTTTTTGGTCTTGTATCTATGTAGGATAGCAGGAGAGAGATGGTGCAGTCCACCGCTGCCACTGACGGAGCCGGCCGTGGCTGGAGCCAATGTTGTCCCCAGTCGCCGCCGAAGCTGAGGTCGTCCCCTTCCGCCGCCGCACTCCACCATTGCCCCCGCCAGAGCCGAGGTCTGCCAGAGCCGTGCTCTTCCCCATCCGCCGCTGCCGGAGCCGATAGCGTAATGTTAATCATATTTTCGCATATTGTGTGAAATATTTTGTTGTATAAATTAATGTATGGAGTCAGGAGCAATATGCTCTAGAAATACATGGTTATGATGCTACCTTCAACGTGCTGCTGCTGGCCTGATCTTCCCTTGGTGATGAACAACAAGATACATGGGAGAATGGCTCTGCAAGCCAACATTGTTGACAAGGACAGGTAAATCAGATTCACTATGTTGCAGCTTCAATCCAAAAATATTATATTGCACACACAATTCACATATGGTAAATCAGATTCCCTTGCCGCCGCCGAACTCCACCGCTGCCACAGGTTTTGCCCCGGAGGTGTTCGACTGAATGCCACTCAACCAATACGGTTTCTATTTATTCCTAACCATTGCCTCATATATTTTATTGTTCATGGGTCTATCTATCTCCTTACAATGGAGGGATACATCGTTGGGCTAGGACTAACAGCTTGCAGCTTGTTCACCATTCAGCTGTAAGAAAATATTGTACATGGTTTATCCAGTTGACGATGATACATGTTGGTTGGTTTTCATACTACTTTAAATGTTGCTCTATTAACCTCCAGAGAAGATCAAGGAGGTTGTTCCTACGAATACAAATCATGCTCAGACGCTATTAAATCAGCCACTGATTCACATATTCACAAAGCTTATTTTACATGGTACATACTCTCTAGCATTATTCAACAAACTATCTTTTGGTTGAACAGAGACTATTGATGAGGCTCTTCAAGACCTGGATGATTGCCTAACAATTGTGATTTTGTTTACAACTACTAGGAGATGATGGTGTGTGAATTGAGAATCCTTAATTGTCATCGGTTCAGCGCTATAAACTCCCCTATAAAACTTACCATGAGGCATCTATATCTTGATTCCATATCTCTTTTTGCTTTTGTGGTATGTTCAGTTTCCCTACAAAACTCTATCCATTTTACCCAATTCAGTTTAATTAAGAAAGTTTTCAAGAATTAATCATGAGTTTAACTCTCAATTGTTCGCAATGCTAGCACAGGTGCAGTAATGTCATATGACAATGAAGATTTGATTCGGCAATGGAGGCAAATGCAGTTCTTTTCCCTTCCCGTACCTAATTCATATGCTTTCTATTTAATCCTTGCAATTGCCTCAGAAGTTGAATGTATCTAATCTTGTTTTCTTCCTAGGCTCCTCGGTTATCTTATTGGTTTGTTGTTTGCTTGTTAGGAGTGAGTTGACGACAAATTGAACTGAAGAAGAATTTGTGGGCGAAAAGTGCTACTGGTACTGTTATTAAGTGTTTTCAGTCATTTTTCACCGATCGATACCTGTTCAGTCATTGATTTCAATCTTGACGGTTTTCCACATGTACTTTTGGCATATTGTTTCTTGCATGTGACCTTCTTTATGATTGTATTGCAGAACTATATTCTTCTTGTGAGCATTCATTTATCCAATTCTCAAGAAGTCAACCAGGCTCCTGTTTTTTAATTTATTTCTACATATCTATGTATTTATGAATAATTGTTCCAATTCTTATTTGGTTACCACTGCTTCAATCTTTTTCAATTTTAAAAATGATTTGACTAAGGTAAGGGCACCGAGATTTTGGAAAACAATATCATCGAGAATGACATGAAATCTGGTTTGTTCTTACACATGATTTGGGCATGATTATCAATTTTCGGCTGTACTGATATTTGGTTTTGAATTTAATTTGTGTCACTACAATAGGTATTTGTTAAATGCAGCTATGGTAATGTACAGTTCTAATTTGAAGTTGGAAGATTATATCACTCCCAATTATTGAATGTTTTTCAAATGAATACTCTGTTGTGCTATTTTAATTAAGTATATGCATGTCAAGGGGTAATGCACGTGCAATGTGTCACTGTATCAACTGAATAAACATGAACGTGTAAGGACATTAGAGCTGTATAACCAAATTTAATGATTGTTTTCTATATCCAATGTGGTGAAAGTTAATTATATAATGCAAGGATTACATGCTGTCAATGTAATCGTATATTTAGTTACATAGACTCCTTCCATCCACTAAAGTTACACCTATTACTTTTATCACCATGACTAAGAAAGAAATTAATTAATCATGCATATAACAAAAATTAAGGAGCGTATACACGTATGCAGCTACTGAATATTAATATTGCTCCTTGGGTTCTAATGAAAGATTTAATTTACCTCTCTATTTAAGTTTTCTTGCATAGAAACTGCAAATAGGAACAAATTATTTAGAAAAACTAAAATATGAAATATGGCTAACTCTTGGGATGGAGTGAGTATATCTATCTATTATATATTAAAAATCAATTAAACTTCCTACAAATGCTCATAAATTACCTTGTGACACTTATACAAACACTACTAGGTCGCCATGTGGCACTAGCCATCGATTTTTATTTAATCTGGTGGAGCCATTATTTTTAACCATTAGATCTATCTGATAATAGGCTATAGTATTACTCTGCAATGCAATTCTACAAATGAGAAAAATGAGATGCTAGCTGATCACTTTTTTTTCCAGCTAGAGATGCTAGCAACCTCACATAAGCAGTGAGCATAGTGACTCTCAGACAAAGATACTTCGAAGTTGTTTCTGTTTTTTATACCAGTGAAATATTTATGTGTAGTTATCTTTTTGTCCTTGGGAGCACCTGGGCCCGGAGCACTCATATGGAGCTTTGGAATTTCTGTTAATAAAGACGGATGGTGCATTGCATCTTATATTGTCACTCTAGGAATAGATGTTGCAAGTTTTTATAGAGATCATTGAAATTATCATCCCACTATAGTCTATGAAACTCAATTTTTACGTGAAGAATTTATATAGAGTATTGCATAAAAAAGGTAGCATTTATTATTCTACTTCTGTGTATATAATGTTACAACGTGCCTTGCACGCGCACGATAACTAGTTTGAATAAAACTATCACTTTACTATAGTTTTAGCTTTGTATTTGACAAAACTGTAATAACAGCAAGCGATTTTATCATAAACTATAGCTTTATGCCTTTATCACAAAACTATGACATGTGAGCCAAACTTAAACAGGGTGGGTATGGCAACTGTACATAACCGGTGGGTCCAATTCTATAATACAGTCAAAACGTTTTGTAGCTGATAATATTGTACACTATTATATGCAATTCTCTGAAGCGACAAGCTAAATTTGCACTGAACTGATAGTTCTGATAAAATAATTAGGGGGTTACGGACTCGACCACGGAGCTTCAATTAACTTCTGATCCGTTGACCAAAACTGCCATTAAGAGCAGGTACAATAGCAGGCTATAAGCCAGATGTAAACATATTTTAATAAGATAAATAAGGAGAGAGAAGCAGCGGGCTACAGATTTATACCCAGCTGTAGCACGAACTTCGAGACAAAGTGTGTGTATGATATGTGGAACCATGTATTAATAGTATTAATAGTATAGTATGTAACTATTGTATGAATAAGCTATTAGATTGGCTATAAATTAATTGGAGCTAATAGTTGGCTATACTATTAAACTTGCTCTAAGCTATAGCTAGTTTACTTACACGGCGCCATTAATGACATAATATCCATGCGTAATAATCTATCTTACCTACTGATCTGACTAATTCGCCGGAAAATGAGGGAAAAAAGTCGTACCATGTTCCCTTCACCAGGACGAAAGCAAGCGGCATACTCTAAACCTATACAGCTCCTTATAAATTTCACCAGCTCAGGAGGACGCCATGCAGATCAACACATAAGCACTTCCACCGAGGCGAGAGCTAGCTAGCAATCCCAAATCCCAATATCCCATCGAGCATTATGGCGTCATCCCGGCTGGCCTTGCCGGCCGCCATCTTCTGCGCCGTCGTCGTCGCCGCGTCGCTGGGTGGAGCGGCGGCGACGGGCAAGACCGGCCGGATCACGGTGTACTGGGGGCAGACGAGCAGCGAGGGCGGTGTCGAAACATGATTTCGGCAATAATAAAAAGGGGTAGCACACGAGACCTAAAAGTGGATGGATGCAGAGACAAAGGATTTAGACAGGTTCAGGCCCTCTCAATGAGAGGTAATACCCTACTCCTGTTTGGGGATTTGAATCCACCGGTTGTGTATTGATCTAACGATCAGGTTGTCTCATGCCCCCTAGAGGGCCTCCTGCCCACCTTATATAGGATGGGAGCAGGATTACAAGATAGAAACCTTAACCAATAAGGTACCGATTTCCTAAATCTACTTTACAATCTTATCAAACCAGGACTTTAGGCCGTTCCATAATATACAGGGAAACGTAATACCCAAGTCATGATCTGTTACATATTCCATACATATATGTTATCCCCTATTACTAGTCAGATAACCATGCCGTGTGGGTATGGGGTACCCATAATCTCCACAGTAGCCCCTGAGACCTTCAGAGTCGAAAATATAATCTTCTCTCGAACTAGATTACTCTAAAGCCGAGTGCTTCAATCATCTTCGCCATGGTCTCCCGAGTACTTTTACCAAATCTGAAGACTGTGGAGGGCTGAAAAATAAAGTCAGGTGCATCGAATAGATGCACCTAATAGGTGTAGCCCCCAACTATGTGATTAGCTGAACAAACTAAACATATAGTCAAGGAATAAATTATCCAATTAACCGAGTGGTTTTTGATAATTATAGTCAACCAAGTGACTTGATACCAATATATAGCATATGCGGTGTGAATCCCCGAATAATATGATCCAAGTGATATACCGACTGTTTGGCAAAATATGATGCGTACAACGTAAAGTTGACAACATCTTTGAAAGTTCACATAGCAAAACAACTATAAAGAAGCTTGAATGCTGTGAATAAAGAAATTTCCAAAGTATTGGGCATACGCCATGCGCACACTGCTTTAACAGATGTGCTTAAGTCCCTAAAAGACACATGGTTTCACCACACCTGGAAATATATGGCATATATGGTATAACATCCGAGTAAGTAAACTCATAAAGGATTTACCAACCGCCTGAAAAATGACCATAATATATAATCAGCCTAAGCCATAATATTGGTCAATAAAAATGCACACTTACGTGGCAAAAAGCAATGATATTGTATCCAATCAATTGCTTGATAAACCCAAACAGCACCTTGACTATATAAAAAAGTCAGCGGGGCAGCTATATAAAGCTTTACTGTTTGACACCTTTTAAGATGCATTGTACCAACTCCTAAAAAGTCGAGTAACTGCGGTATAAAAGGATTTTAAGGTATTGGGCACTTGATCACGCGCACTTTGGCCTAAGCGAAAAGTGCCTAAGTCCCTAAAAGAACGTGACAGGCCACACCTGAAAATATGGGCTGCAGACATATTAGGCCTAGGCCAAAAAATATGCCTTCGACACCCTTTAAAGGATGATGCATGTAACATGCTCTCGAGTAATAAATTTTCCGGGTAATATAGACCAAGTGTAGCTCATATGAATAGCTTCTGATCTGAATGATTATCCCTTATGGGATACACCAAAATAAATATAATAATTGAATCCCGACTGGCGCAAGTATTCGGTTGATAGCCCTTACGGGGAATAATAATTGGTCCAGTCTTTGAGCATAGAAAATAGACTCATGACTATGAATCCATGTGGAATGTATCCGGAACAAGTCCAAATTGGAGATATAATCCTCACGCTTGAGTTGATGAGCCCCTGAGCATATAGCTTGTCCTTCTGTCATAGTCAAAATTGTCTATTGGCAATAGCTGACGCAGTCGGCATGGAGATGAAATGACCAACATGAAGACGAAATTGCTCATCAGAAGTAACGGAAGATGTCAGTGGTAGTAAAAACAGTGACACCAATCAAAGGTAATGAAGTTGCATAACCATGGAGGCGAAGAAACCAGTCGGCAACAGTCAGGTCAGCTAGCAGTGAAGATGTAGGCGCCCAACAACAACGAAAGAACAGTCGGTGGTGACAAAAGCAAACCGACGATGAAGACGTAGACGCGCATCAACGGTGATGGCGAAATCCACCAATCATGAAGATGAAGAAAATAATCGGCGGCGACAAACGCATCCGACGGTAATGATGATTAGCGGCAACAGAGATAGCCGACTATGATGACGAAGTTTCCCATCAACGGCAGCAGAGTAGGCTATGTTGAAGAGGCTTGACAAGATGTTGATGAAGATGACGATGTCGGTGATCCAGTCAATAGCGATGTAGCAGCCGATGATAACGATGAGATCCTCTATCGGCAGTTGCGTAGTAGGCCAACCGTGAAGACAAATAATTGGAGGAGAGTTGATGTTGTTGCCCAACTCGTCTAAACCGAAATATTTGAAGTTGTTGAAGTAGAATGTCTGTTCCGAAGCAAAGATGAAGATAATGACTCTTGGAGTTGACTCATTGGCTGATTAATTGATTTCTTCAGCTTGACATAAAATTTATCAAATTTTGAGCCTTGTATTTGTGTAGCCCCCGACTCTTTGATTAGTTGGGAAACAACTGAACATAGAGTCGAGAACTGTAGCTTCTTGTCGTCGAATAGTCATTGCTTGATTGAAGATATGTGTTGAAGATGTCCAAGTAGAAATCCTGAATATTGGAGAGCCACTTGTTGTAGTAAAATAACATGGCATTGCATGCCGAGATGTCGAGATTCACAAAGACGTCGTGGTTGGTGAAGTAGCGAAACTTACGAAGTAGCAGCAATAGAATTTGTCAGTGCCGAAGATAATAAAGATGAAGTCGCTCTACCATGATGACAAAGTTGCATTGCCGTGATGAAGTGAACACGAGTCGGCGGCAACAGAAGCAAACTGGTAGTGAAGACGCGCAGTTGT